TGAGTTCAAGGCCAGCCTGAACTATATAGCAAGACCCTGTCTCTTAAAAAATAAAAATATACTAAAGAACCAAATACTTCTCAGAAGACAAACAGCCAACAAGTACATAAAAAATTATGCTCAATCTCAGCCAACAGGGAAATGCAAATCAAAACCACAAGATGGCATCTCACCCCCGTTAGAAGGGCAATTATTAACAAGACTAAACATTGGAAGTACTGGTGAGAATGCAGGGAAAAGGAAGCTTGTATACACTGTTGATGATAATGTAAATTAGAACAGCCATTATGGGATACAGTACGGAGATTCCTTAACACTAAAACTACCAGGGGCTGGTGAGATGGCTCAGTGGTCTAAAGCACCTACTTAGAACGAGCTAAGCTAAGCAAAGCACAGGGAATGCGGTTCAATCCCCCAGCACCACATGCCAGCCAGCCCCGCCCCCTGGTGGCCTGAGCTGGCCACACACACACACACACACCTTCACACTAAATAAATGTTAAAAAAAAAACCTACCAGATAAAATCTAGCCATTTGTTATATAAAAAGATACTTTACCCCGCTACTTCCTCCTGCACTATTCACAGTAGCTATAAGTATCAACTCAGCAACCCTTCAGTGAATTAATGAAGAAAAATATGGCATATAACATATAATGGATTATTTGTCCATAAAAGAAAATCCTGTCCTTTGCAGCAACACAGATGGAACCAGAGGTCATTATGTTAACTGAAATAAATCAGACACAGAAAGACAAAACCACATGTTCCCACATCTTGTAGAGAAATGTAATGGAATAGTGGTCACTAGAGACCAGGAAGGGCAGGAGGCTGGGATTGGAAAGTAGTTCCATTAGGGGTACCAAAGTAGAGTGCAAGAATCATTTCTAGTTCTTTTGGGTATCTATAGATTAGGATAATCTTGTGGTTTATTTCAAAATGACTAGAGAAGGAGAGTGCAAAATCCTCAGCACATGAAAATCAATTTGAAAAGACAGAAATGCTCACTAGCCTGATCGGATTAGTATATATTGTGTACATGTACTACCATAATGTGCTCCATAAAGACGTACAAATAGATCTTAGAAAAAATGTAGTGAAAGCACTTTCAAGCTTCATAAAATACCATTTAATACTTACTCCATCAAATTTTTGCCATTAAAACAAGAGTGGGGCCTTGGAGGTGTTGGTGGAGTTCTTACCTAGAACACAGGGCTTTCCATTCAATCCACAGCACTGCAGAGGTAGGAAGGAAAGGGTGAGAGAAGTTCCTTAGAACTCATAACAAAAGAAATTTGATCTGTAAACTTTACCATTAGCACGTGGTAGACATTTTGCAATCCTATCAATCACCAATTAATCCAAGTACATTTTCAGTTTTTAATTCTATTAAGATGCAGGTTTCTGAGTTATTTCTTTCTAGGAAAAGAGGCATAAGGCTGAGTAGGTTTATGTGAATGAACTAGGTACCTCACACAGTGAGCCACCTTGTCCTCCTCCTTTGATGTAACATTCTTCAGGATTCTTCAGTTTTATTTTTTAATTTTTGGGTTTGTCTGCTTTGGTATGGAGTCATGTTTTACAGGACGGCTTCTGGGAGAAGGCACTCATCTCTTCTATAGCTACTGTTCTAAGACAAGTTTGAAGTAAACTTTTGAAGCTGAAACCAAATGGCTAAGATTATCATCAGAAATTATGTAGCTATTACTCCCCACTACTTTCCATGTGATCTACAATGAACATATTTTTCTGTGGAGATAACCTCTACTTAGTTAGCATTCATCTTATTTTTCCTGGTCATTCTTCTACCAAAAAAGCAAATCTGGGCAAAGATTCAGACTCATGAACACAAGCTGTAAGTCAAATACTTTTAAAGAAAGCAACAGACTTATACACTCAGATCAGCTGTAAGAAAAATGAGAATGAATTCGGGGGTGGGGGGGAATCTACTTTAAAAATACTCAGTATCCAGCAAAGATATTAACTATACACTTGGGAAAAATAACAACTCTGCATTCACCTTTACAATCCATGAGAATGATTGGTGGCAGCCAAGTGTAATGATGTGCACCTGCAGCCCACCGCCACTCAGGAGGCTGAGGCAGGACTGCTGTTGGACTGAGGCCAGCCTAGGCTACAAGTGGGTTCAAGGCTGCCCTGAACTACATAGTGAGAATGTGTCTGAAAAAAACCAAAGGGGGCAGGGAGAGGAAAAACAAAAAGGGGAGAGGAAATAAATGATGGTGGCAGAATCAGGCTTGCTTTCTTCTTGCTCTTGACCTACATCAGCAGATAAGGTACCTGCCTGTCTTTCCTTCATTCTGTGATTCTTGGCAACAGTATTAGCAACTGTCAACAGGCATTGAGTTACAGGCTCCAGAGGCCTGGCAGAACGTTACCTGCTTCCCACAAAGGCTGCACTTCAGTGGTGGGCACCAGGGTCTTCAGTGCCTGGCACCACAGGACATCTTGAGATCACTCACGCAGCTGTTTCTTGTTCCTTCTCAGGTTACAGTCCCTGGACATGAGCCGCAGCTTTCAAAGGTGGTTATTCCTGAGAAATCCCAGTACCTCAGTGCTCTTAAAAAGAATTTTGTATTTCCACTTCAAGGGCAGTTAGATTCTGTCCTAGGAGCCAATCCATCATGCCCAATGACCCCTCTGTACAAAATGTCGCCAAGCCACTTAGCTGCAACGAAGCCTCAGCTGTTCTTATTTTTACTCTTTTTAAACATATTTTTCAAGTAAATTGTGAAGCTCAAATCTCATCACCACCTGGAATCAGGGATTACTCGCTCCAGATTACTGCAACTCTAACTCCCACTTGGGGGACCTCACAACTGGATAAGAGAATGGATGCAATAAGCAGTGTGTGGTAGTAATGAAAGGAACTGATTCAGTCTTGTCATCTACCTATCAAGCACTGCCTATTTACAATTAATGCTTAAGTATGTTAGAAATCTGTAAGAAGTTAAATGTGAGAAGCAAAACAAAAGTTCCTACAAGAAAAAAGAAAATAAAGACTTAAACCAAGCACAGGAATGTGTGCCAATAATGCCCACTACTCAGGAGACAGGAGGATTACAAGTTCAAGTTCAACCTGAGCAACTTAGCAAGATTAAAAAAAAAAAAAAAATTGTCTCAAAATTAAAAAAAAAAAAAGTTGGACTCTAGCTTCATGGATTGAAAACCCAGTACTCCTTCAAAAAATAAAAAACAAAACAAACGAATTTTACATACAAAAAGCCAGCTGAGTATAAGTAACAAAGACGAACATTTATTGATCACCTGCTATGTTCAAGACCTGACATGAGTACTATCTGCAAAGAAATAGTGTTGCATATAATTAGGGGGGGTTTTTTTGGTTGTTTTGTTTTGTTTTTTGATACTGGGAGTGGAACTCAGGTCCTTGCATTTGCCAGGCAGATGCTTGTGCTACTGAGCTATATATCTCCAGCCCCATAATGCGTTTTCCAGAAAGAAATGATCATAGGACTTAAGAATAGTTTTATTAATATTTTTTAAGAAAATATGAGAGAAAACAGGCAAACAGGTCTCAGCGGCCCAAGACAATATGGTCCTGATGGGATAACAAGGTTTTGTCTACAACAGTCAATTAGGGAAATGGGAAATCTGTCTTCCTCCACTGCCAAAGCCCTTGTCTTACTGCAGTTGGATGCCACTATCCTGTTTGAAGAGAAACTCCAGCCTAAAAGAGAGCACTCTATCTTCTTGCCTTAACCTCAGACTTCTGTCTCACTGCCCCAACAGATACACCTGCCTGAGAGTGACCCACAAGTACTTCACACTCATCACATTGCAAATGAACTTGATTTTCCCTCAGGAGCTGCTTTAGTGTTGTGTTCTCAGTTACTGGTAGCACCATGCTAGAAATCTGAGAATCACCCTCAATACTTCCTCTTTCATGGGATTAGTTCTACAAATTCTCCCCTCTCCTTTCCATGCCAGTGAGCACTAACTGCAACGTAAGCCCTCTGATTTCACCTGCACCACAACACTTTAACTGTTCTCTTGCTCTCAGCCATCTCCATCCTTCACACACCCGTAGGGCTACTTAAAACTCAACAACCAATTGCTTCTATTTCCTATTACCTAAACACATGACATGCTTTTTGTGTTCCAAGCATCTGGAATGACATTAGGATTCACTACATTCTTCTACTTAAATTAAAACTGTAGGTATCAACTCCAGCAGGACACCTTTACCCACCATCATCCCATTCAACTCCATTCCACTTCCTCCCTGGCAATCTTGCCTTCAAAGCCCTTTTTTCTCTTGAGGATAAACTGATCATCTTTCTTACTAGATTTGCAACACTGTAGTGTAACTGCCTACTTCACATGTGTTTCTCCAGTATAGTCTGACCTCTTTGAAGCCAGGAACTACTTGTTTGAAAAATTCATTTTTATTTCCTCAGAGTCTAGCACGAACCAAGAGTTCAGAGGCCAACCTGCTACTCCTAGACCCTTTCAGAAATGGCAGGACTTTGAGTCTCTTTTTATGAAAGCAGGTTTTATGTTCCAGCAATCCGCTGCTCACTGACAGAAGCATGTTTCCATACATAAAAGTTTCAAATGCAATGCTGTTACTTCCATTTGTCATAAGGTTTGTAGTAGTGTTAACCCAGTAATAGCACACTACTTTTTTTTTTTTTAATCAGAAAACAAGTGTTTTACCATCAGTACTCACACGAAACAACCATGCTCTATGAAAATTAACCTATCTTAACTATTGTGTCTAAGAATGACAGTGGGGGAAAAGACCAAAGAGAAAAAGCAATGGCAGTTCTTAGAGGCAGATCCCAAATCCCTAAATTGCACTGATCTTGGCACATGGCAACAGTCTAAGAACCCACAAAGAAGATATAATTTTTAAGAACGATTTCAATGCCAAACTTACTCTACATACACAAATCATATATGTGGGTATCAATAGTATTTGTAGTCTTTTTAAATTACTTATAAAATCTGGTAAAATCTTGAATCTCTTGACCATTTTAAATAAGCAGTAATTCATTATATAATTGAAAATATATGTTAATGTAATGCAGAAAATTATCTTGGTATATTAAATATAAAAGTATGCAAGACTAAATTTGATTTGCCAGGAAGCCCACAACCAATGATGGCAAAACTTTCAGGGCTCTCAATGATAATAAACAGCCTGCTAGAGAACACATGCTATAGATTCACCAGCACTGCCTGAACAATTTTTCTATTTGGCACTCACAGTTCTAACTTCTAAGACAGCAATTTGTAAAAAGATACATGAACTGAAATTTGAATTGGTTCATGAGCCTAATGTAAATTTGTTACTGAAAGTGTTTTCAAAATCAGAAATTTACATAAAAATAAAACTTAAGGGGCTGGGAAGATGGCTCAGTGGAATAAGCGCTTCCACAAGGGCCTGAGTTCAATCCCTGGTTCTGCAAAAAAAAAAAAAAAAACCTTACAATCATTTAAAGGCAAACAAGACTGAAAGTATGGCTTGGTGGCGGAACATACTTAGTATGTTTGAAGCCCTGGGCACACTCTCCAGGGCAGGCACGCACATGTACACACATACAAAACACACCAAATTCTATGGTCAAAGCAAATCCCAAATTTCCCTGCCTAACATCTTTCCCACTCTTCTGTACCCCTTAGACTGATGGTTATACCCTTCAGGATCTAAATTCAAATACAATGGTACCTCAGTTCATGAACTTAGTTTCATAATTTTGGAAAAGATGGTCAAATTTGCATCTGTGTGGGCAAGGATGGCTGTGATCATGTTTGTCACCCGTTGTAGTTCACAAACAAAAACAAAATTTTTGTAAACCCTTTTGTTTGCAGACCAAATTGTTCTCAATCAAAAGTATTTGTTGGGGGGCTGGTGAGATGGCTCAGTGGTCTAAAGCACCTACTTAGTACAAGCTAAGCTAAGCAAAAACACAGGAACCGCGGTTCAATCCCCAGCACCACATGCCAGCCAGCCCCGCCCCCCTGGTGGGCTGAGCTGGCCACACACACACACCCACACACACACACGCAATAAATAAATAAATATTTTTTTTAAAAAAGTATTTGTTGGGGACCGGGGAGATGGCTCAGTAGAATATGTGCTTCCCTGGCAAGTGCAAGGGCCTGTGTTTAATCCCCAGTTTCACAAAAAAAAAAAGTATTTGTTAACTGAGGTACCACTATATAATCCTTTTTACAGAGAAACCAACATTATAAAAGTTTTCAAGTTTAAGAAAAAAAAGCAGGAGTAATTAGATGGCAGGAACCCTGGATTCAAATCCACTACACATTTACTTTCCTTATCTGTAAAATGAAGGACACCCATAGTCCCCATTAGAAATAGCAAAATAGACCATTTTTTTGGTGCTTTTCTAATGGAAGGAATGATAACATTCAGATTAATATTTTGAAGATGAAATTACACCTTATTGAAGGCTTATTGTTCTGTCTCAGTTATATAAACAAAATTGAGCTAAAAACAAACTTTGGTTACCAAGACTGATCAATATTTAAGGAAGCTTTAATGAAGTGACAGCTTGTGTACCTACTCATATCGTGAATAATACTAACCTGAATTTAAATGTGTGAAGAATTTTAGAGAAATGTTAACTCTATACAAGTGTCAGTGTTCATTTTGGTGCTTAACTTACCACATTGAGAAGCTGCTAATTGTATCAGAAATGTTTAAAAAGCCTCAACATTTCTGAAAGTCTAAGAAATCAATGTTGTATTTTGTTTCAAAAGCAAATTTGCATTTGTAATGTTTTTAAAAATGGTGTAATTTACATGTATATATAGAAAGTATACATATCTGATGCTGGATTAGAAATATCTTCTAGGGAATCCAGTAAAATAGGAATGGCATATTGTCTTACTGCAAAAGGATGTTATTTATTAAGATTAGTTCTTATTTTATACAGTAATAAATATAGTTGTTTATTTTATAACAGATCACTTATATCTTCCTGACTTCGGGTGGCAGAAAAGGAAGATAACAATGCCCAGATTAGGTAAAGAGCACAGAGTTCCTAATATCTAAAGTAGAAGTCTGTTTGTTACAGACTTTATATCACTGATAAGTAAATACTGTATTATTCACATACCATGTTATCATTTTAGAGCCATTTATAGAGGTTACGTAGCTGATTTTACAAGTATTCTCAGTGACTTTCTTTTATACTAATAATGAAAACTTACTAAAATGAACTGTCTTAAGACTAAAGTTTATTGGGGAGGAGCCATGACTACCTCTGAGTTTAGTAAATCTATACTTTTGATTATCAATAAAAAATATTCATACAGTGAATGTTATTTCTTTCCATTACCTTGAAAACAATGTTTCTATGTGTGAATGTAACAAAGTCCACATACTAGTGAAAACTATTTGGGACCAAATCTTAGGGAAGCTGGGCGTGGTGGTACACGCCTGCAATCCCAGCACTCAGGAGGCTGAGGAAGGAGGACCACTGCAAGTTCCCTAGCCTACAAAGTGAGTGTTGAAGTTCAAGACCAGCCTGGGCTTTGAAGTGAGCTCAAGGCCAGCCTGAACTGCATAGCAAGATCCTGTCTGAAAAAGACAAATCCTAGGGAAGACCAAATTTAGCAACATTTTATAAGGCATTAATAATGCCTCATCAAAGGTCTAATAGTACTTCAGAACATTTTGTTATTCACATTATATATTTCAAATTGGTTTGTATCATGGCACAGGGTATCCCATGGACACAGTGATGGGTAAGAAATGTACTTTCATATGCAAGGACTGGGGTTCGATCCTCAGTGTACAGTGCCAGCCCTGCCCCGGGGCACAATGAGATGGCGATTGAGACTGGGCGTGATGGTGCACCACTATAATCCCAAGCCTTGGAAGGATGAAAACAGGATCATTACGAGTCTGATCTGAGTAGTGAGACCCTGTAGGCCCTGTACTAAATACATTTAAAAAAAAAAAGTGCTTTCTGGTTCAAACAATGGAGGCTGATGATACAGTTCAGGGGAAGAGCACTTGCCTAGTATGTTCAAGGCTTAGGTTCAATCCCCAACATGACAAGGAAAAAAGAAAAAGGAAAATTCACAATCCACGTTAATACACTAAAAATTCTGAGAAACAGATTTCTCACAAGTATACTTAGCTATGGGCCCATTTTCTTAAACAATTTAGCCAACTACTATCTCTTAAACTAACATCCCTAGCTTTCCAAACGTATCTTGGAAAATGTTGATATATTTTTTGTTCTAAATAACAAGTTTTACCAAATTTCAAGGACTTCTAGAACACAGAGCTGGCTGTAAATAGAATTTGCATCTCACGGGAACTGGACAGTTTAACAACCATAACCTCACCAAGGCAAATCCAGCATGCTAATATAAACTTTAAAGTCAGGACAGAGGTCAGAGTCAAGGGCAAATTTATTTTCCTAAACTTGAACAGTGTTTCTACTTAAGACATGGCTGAAGGAAAAAAATGGCTAAATTGAATTTCTAGAAAGAGAGAAATATCTAAATTTCTCAATGTAGCAAATAAACCGGAATAATTTTTCTATTTTTAAGAGAATTCATTACCCTTAGGCAGAACTTCCTTGACATACTTTGGCTAGACTTCAATATTTAAATTTGCAGCTGGGAGTGAAGTGCAGACCTATTATCCTACCACTAAGAAGGCTGAAGCAGGAGGAGGCTCACCATGAGTTTGAGACCAGCCTGGGCTATACAATGAGTTTATGCTCTGCCTGAACTACATAATGAAACCCTGTCTCAAAAATAAACAAATCTGCAGCTATTAAATGAGCTGAAAGATATGAACCTGGACTTCAAACTTTTGTTTAAAATTCACCTTTTTATCTGGGCACAATGGTACATGCCTACAATCCCAGTTAAGGGTGGGCTGACTAGGAGTATCTCAGGTTTGAGGCCAACCTATGCAACACAGCGCATCTCTGTCTGAAAATAAAGAAAATCTACATTTTGGTAATGACGAAGTCTTACCAAAATGTGCAGCTCTTTAAAAAAAAATCTGCCTTTCCCAAAGCCAAAATAAAATTGTAAAATAAACTAAAAATTTAAAACCTTACAACATTGCTGAGGGCCAGCCAGATAGCTCAGCAGACTAAAGCACCTGCTTAGGCAGAGCACAGTGGCTAGGTTCAATCCTCAGTGTGCCATGCCGGCCCCACCCCCTGGGGCGCACTGAGACACTGATTGAGTCTGGGCATGGTAGCATGTCTATAATCCCTGCAACTTGGAAGGCTGAATACAGGAGAATCACTACGAGTCCAGATCTATATAGAGAGACCCTGTAGACTCTATACTAAATAAAAAAAAAAATTTTTTTTTTAAATTTTATTTGTGTGTGTGTGTGTGTGTGTGGCCAGCTCAGCCCACCAGGTGGCGGGGCTGGCTGGCATGTGGTGCTGGGGGATTGAACCGTGGTCCCTGTGCTTTGCTATGCTTGTTCTAAGTAGGTGACCACTGAGCCATCTCACCAGCCCCACAAAAAAATTTTTTTAAAAAGACACTGCTGAGCATGGTGGCACATGCTTGTAATTCCAGCACTTGGGAGTCTAAGGCAGGAGAATCACTGAAGTTCAATACCAGAGGGGGCTACAAAGTGAGCTCAAGGCCAGCCTGAACTACATAGTGAGAGACCCTGTCTCAAAAAGACAAAAAAAAAAAAAAGTCAAGACAGAAAAAAGAAAAGCTGTCCTAGTTACTTTCTCATTGCGGAGACAAAATACCCAACATCCAAAGGTAAAAAGTTGCAGCTTATATAGCTCACAGTTCGCAGAGGTTTCAGTCCATCACTGGTTAACTCCAAGGCAGATCAGCATGGCACACAAGCATCACAGAGGAGGAACAGTTTCTGGAGGGCAGAAGATAGCGAAACAAGAGACAACCAAAAAACAAAGCACTGAAATTAGTTCAGGGAGCTGTAATAAGCAAAGTCCTGGTGAGCTCTGAGCCAAAAATTAACATCCACACAAGTATTAAAATGCAACCCTTACAAATGAAATTCATACAAAATAACAAAGTTTCAATGGTTAGGTTTGGGAATTTGGAAGATAAAACATACCATGAAAAGTTGACTTTTAGGGTCAGATGTGAGCACACACCTATAATCCCAGAACTTGGAAGGCAGATGTAGGAGCACTGCCAGGAGTTTGAGGCCAGCCTGAGACAAACAGCAGGTCCCCATCTCAAAAAAAGAAAAAAACTCCAGCCCCCCTGCCCCCTCCCCCAAATAAGTTGATTTTAAACTACTGGCAGGACATCTAAGTAGTAGTCATATTTTGAAGGCAGTGAAAATGTGAGATTGAAACAAAGATGAGAAAAAACTTTAAAAAATCGTAAGAGTACCTTAAAAATCAAAACACGAAACAACTGTTTCTGTATCATCTATTTCCTGAAAATTGCCAATTATGGCTCCTTTACCCAAAATATTACTCCCATACTTAAATATATTTCAGCTACATTACCTGTGAGAAAATATTAAACCCATGGATAGTCTTATCTGCTTATTGTATGCTCTTGATGCTGCTTTTCACAAGTTCAGCTGTTATCAGTCTACTTTGTAATTCGTTGACATAATCAACACTTCTGAACACCTATATACAGATGGCTTTAAGATATGTATCTTTTCCAAGACATTATTTGTGAACGGTAAAAATTCCTTTAGGTATAAGGCCATATCTCAAGTGCCTTGAGTTCAATTCCCAACAACACATACACACACACAAATTCCTATTATGTACAACAGAAAGCTAATCAAATGGTAAGATACACGATCACAAATAATATAAACTTGTGAGAGGTTTTCTTAAGAGTTTGGCTTTGGAGGGGTTAGGGATATAGCTCAGCAGCACAGCACCTGCCCAGCAAGCACAAGGTTAAGTGGGTTCCTGGTACCAAAGTCTGGTTTTTTGTAGTCCAAGGGATCAACTCAAGACTTCACATACACTGAAGATATTCTCCCAGTGACATAAACCCACTACCCTTATCAATTAGTTTAAGTTTAAAAGAAAAAGTTTATAAATATGCCATACTCAATTCACCATTCTATGACAAGGTACACTGTAACTTTTCATAATGTGATGCTATGACTACTTGTAGTTACTACCACAAGCTTACAGACTAAGACATTACTATCTTTAAAACACTAGATATTTTCAAAATCTAAGCTAAATGATGTTAAAGGCTAAACCTCTGGCTTTGACATCCACAAGCTCTTCAACACATTTCTGCTGGCTTGAATCACTGCTAGTACAGGCATGACTGCCCACTGGGCAGCCTGTACCACTGGTAATAGAAACAGATACAATTTTTATTAGTCTTTTTACTAACAAAATTAACAAAAAGTCCCAAGTCACCAAATGGGACAGTCATTCATGTACCACCAGTAATAAGTGGCACTCAGCAGCAAGACATACGAATTATGGCACCATCATGAATGTGTTAAAGCTAGCTTCAAGAATCAAGTCCCAGGGCTGGTGAGATGGCTCAGTGGTCTAAAGCACCTACCTAGAACAAGCTAAGCAAAGCACAGGGACCACGGTTCAATCCCCCAGCACCACATGCCAGCCAGCCCCGCCCCCTGGTGGGCTAAGCTGGCCACACACACACACACACACACACACACACATAAATAAAATTTAAAAAAATAAATCAATAAAAAAAAAGAATCAAGTCCCAAGGCTTTGACTTATTTAATAAATTCTTACTGAATACCTACATATATGCAACACAATCAAAAAGTTTCTGGCTTTGTGGGACCATTTCAAACTGACCAGAGAAGTAAACAGACAATTAAAACAGGATCAGAGGCCCTGGGCAGATGGCTCAGTGAAATAAGCACTTCCCTGGCAAGCGCAAGGGCCTGACTTCAATCCCCGATTCTGCCAAAAAAAAAATTAAAATAAAATAAGATCAGACCACTCACTGTTATCACTGAAAAACCACGTAAGCCAGTTCATCTGGAGGCCAAGTGAAAAGCATTTCCTACCAAACAGCATGACACTGAGCAGTGATATGTGTATTACCAAGATAAGCCGGCATGGTCACTCCAAAAGAATTAAGATCTGAGCCTCCGATTAACCAAGAAGATTATGAAAAAATTTTAAGATCCAATAATCATATTTTTGAAACAATTCTTAAATTTTCAATACATCGTTTATTTATAAAGCAATAAATACCATACACTAAACCTAAAAATTTAGACAAGACTACATCAATAACCCACAAGCATGTAAAATGAGATCTAATTTGCAAAGCTCAATGTTGAATAACATGTACTACATATGCTGTCATTTATAATCTCAATTATTATTAGCAATTCTGGTTATTTTCACTATTTCACTGAAGATTCTTATTAATTAGTATAAGTGGTACACTTTTACCTACATAACATAGCACCAAATATAAATAAGAATTTCTGAAGGAGGAGAGAAACTAAGGATTGGTGTTTCAGAGCATCTACATCTTGAATGTTAAAAGCTTTCCATACTTTTCCTTTTCACACAAAAGGTGCTTAATTAAGTTACATTTCAATGTCCTCATATTTCTTGCTTTGATGTTTATAAAATCTGTGTTGTCTAAATTTTTAGGCTTATATAAAGTTAAAAATATATACTTTTATGGATGTCAGCTAGTTGAAATAAGTTAGCACAATCATTTGAATTGGTTGTCTGCACACTGGGCAGGGCTTATTTCTCTTCTTCAGCTTCTTTGCACATGTGAAACACGACATAAGATGTCCTGTTTTGCCATGGACAATGCAACCATTTTTAGGTCTACCTTGACAAATCACACAAGGTTCAATGGCATTAAGGGGAAAACCAGATTCCACACTTTCTTCTTTGTCTTGTGTTTCTTCCTTCTCAAACTCTTTAACATCTTCTTGGCTGCTATTAATAATGCTACCAGAAGTTGATGGCTGAGAGTAGTCCTCACCTTCTTGTGACAGGGAGGTTTGTGTGCATTTATCATTACTTTCTTCAACAAATGACTCTCTGGAATCATTTGCCAAAGTCTTTCTACCATCAGGTACATCCAAACCTTCATCTGCCTGTGTTGAGTTTTTTAACTGGGCTTTTTCAGAGACCTCTCCTTTATCCTTCCCTTTATCTTCAGGAAGCCAATTCTCACGAAGGGCCCAACATCTGTTGCAGTGTGACGGAAGGGGAGGATTCATTTCATGGCATGAAGTACACTTCCAATAGTCCTTCAATGAAGTAAGACAGTTTCCATTACTCTTTAATTACTAATCAGAGCAGTGTTAGCAATTTTAGCATGTCTGAGGTATAATGCACCACATAGATCAACTGTCAACATCTCATTTTACATAAAACAATCACCATGTACAACGTGAAAACTTAATATTGAATATTGTAAGTTTACCAAGAGTAGACTCCCATATAAAAGGTAACTGAGATAATGAATATTCACTTATTTGACTATAGGCCCAGAATGAATCCCCCAAACGAAAAAAAATACTATATTGTACACCCTCAAAATATAACAAATCTTAAAATATTTAATTAAAAAAAAATCAACACTGGATTGGGAAGAAAAAAATTAACATACAACAGTGACTCATTCAAGTACATGACTCTAAGTAGTTTTGTTTTTATCCTTACCATGCTGAAAAATTCTAAAACTAAAACTATACTTGTTGTGCTATTGATGGTGTACCTAAGAAGTTATCTCTAAACACACACACAGCTGATACCATTAGTTAATGCAAGTGCTATGGCATCTTTTCCTCTGTACTGAGGTCTACATCCAATGTTGTTAAGGGCTCAATCCTAGACACTGAGCCTAGATTCTACCCACTCAAGCTAATGCAACCTGCCTCTTCTCCCAAAGTCTTCATCAAGACACCTTAAAAATTAGGGCTTTAAAATTATGATTCAATCAAGTGTTTTCTAACTCTATCCATAAAGGAAATGGCAAAACAATTCTTACTTCCAGCCAAAACCTACCCTCCTCGGTCCCAATCCAAAATGTATACCCTGTACTTCTCTATCTATTTTTTCTTCCTCTCTTCTGTAACTGCTCAGGGTGTCCTTATCCAACTTCTCTAACATGCGACTGGGATGACAAACTCCCTCAAATCCCCACTTCTTTGCTGAACACACCCTTAGGTATAACTTTTTCTTTCTGAAATGAAGCATGGATCTTACTTGAGAGGACTTTACATAGGAAGCCTGCAGTAAGACAAACTTCCTATTATGCCATTATTCATGTAATCATTTTTAGAGTGCCTGCCAACTGATACAACGCAGTAGCAACAAGGGCAGGGGCTACTCTCCCACAGTGATTCTTTTTCACTGTCCACTATCTCCTAAAACCAAAGACAACAGTCTTGCAACACAAAAGGAAGTCCAAAGAGCCAAAAACAATGAAGTTTAAATTCCCTACATGAAACTAATACAGCCTTTCTTGAGCTAATATTTTTTAGACAATACCTCATGCCTATATTGTGTACCTTGAGTAACTACTCTGAAGATAACAGTACATAATGTATTATTGTTACTCTATTATTTTATTCTGAATTTTTTTCTTTTTTTTTTTTTGTGGAACCGGGGATTGAACTCAGTCCCTTGCCCTTGCAGGGAAGCACTTATTCTATTGAGCCATCTTCCCGGCCCCTGAAATTTTTTTTCTTTTTAAAATAAAATATCCTAGGTATCTTCCCAAAGCAATTAACAGCATCATACCATAGTGACACAGGTACACCCATGTCTACAGTGGCACAGCTGGTAATAGCCAAATCTTGGAAACAACTCAAGTGTCCCTCAATTGGTTAAGTGGATAAAAATGTGATTTTTTTTGTTTGTTTGTTTTAATACTGTGGACTACTGCTCTGACATAAAGAAGGACATGCTTGAGACATTTCAAGGAAAATGGATCACCTTGAGACTCTAAGTGAAATAAATCAGACACACACATGTGAATACTGCATTATTTCTCTGGTGTGACAAACTGAAAGTGTAAATAAGGACCAAAATGTATTTTGATATAAGAGAAAAATGTTGAAATGGGGAAGAGAACAAGAGAGGAAAGGGGAAAAGGAAGAGAAGTTTAAAATTAAAAACAAAACAAAAAAAAGGAAAACATGGAAACAAAGCTCTGTAAATGGGAAAGGGAGGAGGAGTTAGACAGAAGGTAGGGCAATGGGAGGAAAAATGTATCAGGTACAGGTACAAATTCTCTATGAGGAATGTGATTGTCATGTATATCTAAAATGTACCAATTGGGGCCAGGGAGATGGCTCAGTAGAATAAATGCTTCCCTGGCAAGAGCAAGGGCCTGAGTTCAATCCCCGGTTCCACAAAAAAAAAAAAAAAAGAAAAAAAAAATTTAAAATAACACATCTAAAAATTTTTTTTAATTATTTATGTGTGTGTGTGTGTGTGTGTGTGTGTGTGTGTGTGGCCAGCTCAGCCCACCAGGGGGCGGGGCTGGCTGGCATGTGGTGCTGGGGGATTGAACCGCGGTCCCTGTGCTTTGCCAAGCCTGTTTTAAGTAGGTGCTTTAGACCACTGAGCCATCTCACCAGCCCTAAAAATTGTTTTAAGAGAACAGCAGCATACTGTATTTTTTTAAATAAATTTATCTGTTCGAATTGGAAAAAAAAAAAAATGCAGCAATAGATTTCACACCAAATAACATACACTTAAATCAACCAGACGATAAAAGTTTTCACTTTATAAACACCTTGGGGTTTTATAAAACCTCTACACCAAGCTCAGAAGAGCCTGAGGCAGGAAGATCGCCCCTCCAGGGCCTTTAGTGAACAAGAAGGGTCTGGCACATCCTGGTGTAAAGCCCTGGGTTCAGCTGCTGGTACCAAGGGGAAAAACTTAATTTAGGAGGTAGATCAGATATATTTCTCTAATTTTGACTTTAATTCCTTTAAAAAAAAGATATATACTTACAGCTAAGGAAATTTCAGGATCTTCTTCAAATGAATCTGTATCACTTTCCCCTGTCTTAAACACAGTAACTCGATATACCTAACAAAACAAATTCATCAACATCAATTCACCACCTATTTTCTTCAACAATGGCAGTTTCTTAGTGCTAAGTTTTAAACAGGTAACATGTGCCACTACTACATATGAGAAATCCAGATAAGGGTAAAACTGAAGAGAATGTAAAGGGAGAAAAACTGAGGCAAAAGTCAATGGATAAGATATTAAAAGTAAAATATTCAAGGTAAGTGTATTTGTAAATATATTAATAATAAATAATGGAGAAACAGCAAAAGATATTGACCTAGTCACTTCCAGGGAACAGATATGGTGGTAATACTTAAAACTTTTTTGTTTTTTTGGCCTTGAGACAGGATCTTGCCACACAGCTCAGGCTGGCCTTGAGCTCACTCTGTAGCCCAGGCTGGTCTCAAACTCGTAACAATTCTCCTGCCTCAGCAGTGTAATCCCAAATGCTGGTATCACAGGTAGGTACCATCACACCTGGCCTATTAAATTTGTGTTTTACTCTTACAAAAAGCAAATTAAAATTGAAGAGGGGAACTGAGTTGAATTTTTTTTTGCTGGGGGGAAGGGGGGCAGAACCAGGGATTGAACTCAGGCCCTTGCACTTTCCAAGGAAGCGCTTATTCCACTGAGCCATCTCCCTGGCCCCAGAAATGAATTATTTTAAAAACAGATTATATGGTATATTAAGGACTATCACGTCCTTGACATTAGTAATATAAAAATAAATCAGACAGTAAGAACTATGAAAGCCTCAAATCCACAAATCAGTTTGAAAAACCCAATTTTCAATCTAGTTTGAAAAATCAAGAGGTGAGAATTTCAAGAAAAAAATCTATGCGTTAGTTTCAATCTCATCAAATCAACGAACATAAAAAGTACTTAACTTTCTAATCTAATTAAAGGAAAAAATTACCTCATCATCTTCATCTGAGAGTTCTTGTCCTTCTTCACTAAGACTATAATCTTCTGAATCGAGAGACTCAACTTCAAATTCTACGCTGAATTGATCAGAAACTGAATCCTGATCCAACCAATCACCTGAATGTTCACTTACACCATCATCCAGATCCTAAAAGGGGGTTGAAAAGAAATGAACTTAATATGAATGACCTCTTGGCCTGTCTAGCTCCCTACTCCTGTTTGTGCCTCTGTTTCCTTCCAAGACTCATAGTATGTACACTGGTACTAGATTAAGGTTCAAGGTTACTAATACTATTCTCCCTCCTAAAAATTTCATTACACAAAGGAAAAAGATGAAGCCCTTTGGCACAGAGGTGTACAGAGAATGACTACATTAATACTTTCATTCTCTTCAACTGACAACCTCTCCTCCCTTAATAAAAGTATGGACAATACAGCTAGATCTAGCCTGTTTCCTAAACCAATCTTGACAGTACAATTTCTACATTTACCCTCATTGAAATAGTTTAATAACAGTTTTTGAATCTTACACGGTATGATTAAAAAGCCCACGAATGTTTAAAGTTTTAAAATGTACTACACAATAAAACATGTTCTCACTATCTCCCTCGAAAAGCCCCACCACCACCCTTAAATACTTGTAATCCCATCAGTCTTGCCACTGTCTGAGACAGCTGTGCAGTCCTCTTCTATGTGTTTAGTTGTGTTGTCATGACTGTCTCAATGTCCTAAAACAATCTGAAATATTCTGACTTTGGGGAAGAGCCAGAAGTTGCACCATACCAGATATGGGGAATAAGGTGGATAAGGATATACTGTAATGTTTTCACCAACCTGCCATTCTGTTAAATAGCACTTGGCAGAAGCATTACACCTCTTAAAGCTAAACTTGGGGACATTCAGAAAGGCTTTCGAGTGGCAAAAACAATGAGATAACTGTGTTCAAAGCAAGTCAGAGTATTCTGAAAGGGATTAAAGGCAATGTGTCTTTACTGTAATTTAAAATATCATATGAAAAAGTTCTTCCACTTTTTTCAGACTGCTAATAAGACACACAAATTTACTATGTTTTTTCTTAATGTATCAGTAATTAAGTTCTTAGTACGAAATTTAGAACAATAATTTATGAGGATAAATTCCTTCTGTCAGAGCAAAAATGGACCACAGACTGCCTGGGAGCTGAGGAACGGCTTTGATTTTTCCTAAAATCCATGAGTCCACCACTTTCTGAGCCACCTTGCCCTGCTCTGAACTATAGTATCTGTCTTTCTTGGTGTTGAAGATCTCACCCTCCTGGTGTCAAGGTTTCTGCAGCTTCTGCTTGAGGTGTCTAGGGATTTTCATTTTGCTGATACCAAGCTTTGTTGAGGTGGCAATGACAAATTTCTAGAGTGTTCTTCATAGAGAAACATGATTAAAGCTAACAGGCCCAGTCACAAGTAGCAAACCCCTGGCCAACTCCTGTAGGAATACCACTCTCTTGCCTCTACAACGCCTGGTGAGGATAATCACAACAGTGCTGGGAGTGATGCTATCTTGGAAGTTTCCTCACATGCTGACTGGTTTGTTGCCATGGCTCAACAGCTTTCAGGGCACATCTTCGGTAGGGTAGTATCTAGGAACTGTTTGAAGCTTCACCACCTGGGTACCAGCATTCTTGTCACCACCGACTGGTTTTGTGATAGTACAAGAACTTTTCGGCCAGGAAGACAGCTCAGTGGAATAAGTGTTTGCCTGACAAGTACAAGGTCCTGAGTTCGATCCCTGATACCGCAAAAAAAAAAAAAAAAAAA